TTTGGATTACTGTTATGGTATCTGTTCCCTGAAGTGAGAATACTATGTTGACCCATTTTTTTGATACATGTTATTGTTTTACTTTTACATTTATGGTGTGAAACACGTAAAAGATCGAACAAAATGTGTAGGAGCCCTGGTAAGATCTTAGCATTAAAAAATAACATATCTGTCTTATTCCTTGTGATTGGCTGCCTCCTGCCCGTGTCAGGCGCGTTCTCATCACACTGTTCGTTGCCGTCTGGAACCATAGCAAACCTGCCACAACTGGGCTCCACAGATTTTTGAGAAATGTTGTTCTTCGTGGAGCTTCACATCCAAGAATGATATCCAACACTTGGAACTTTTAAAATAGTCCTGCAGTTTAATATTTATTGACTTTACCAGATACAACAAACAGTAAAACAAATCTGAGGGCTTTCTCAGAAAAAAAAAGAAAGTTAATATCTGATGTCCCATATTGCACATATGACGGATCAGTCCTTTTAGTGAAATAATTTAACTACAGTGTCAAGTAAGGTTTAATTAAAGCCTTAGGTGTTATGTCTAGCATGGCAGCTGATTAAATGGCTGTCGAATGAACCGTGGGTTATTAAATATGGAAAATGCCCTTTGGCTATTTGAGGTTAATCCCAAAAAGAACCATGTGCCCCTGGTGCCACTGTCAGGTTATTTGGCTGCATATGACATGATCCCCCCCTTTGCCAGTTCTCATTACCGTGTTGAGTTGTTCTCTATCGTGGAAACCAAAAACTGTGCCTTAAAGACACGGGGCCTTAACTTCAGTGTCTCTCACTTGGCTGGCATTGGTATTTGCCATCCTCTCGGAACTGGGATGCAGGGTTTGGGCAGCCCAGCTTCTTACGTGCTTGTGGAGGTTTTTTTGGTCTTTAAACACCAAAGCAGCAGTTTCCTTAGCAGCGTGGAAGGAAGAAATCAATCAGGGAGATAAGCTATTAGACTGAGAATGAATCACCTGCCAAAACCCAGTTGCAGAATTGCTCGTCTCTTCAGCCAAGCTCCAGGTGTTCATGTCCTCACTGCTGTCCTTCTTTCATTCTCTGTCTTTAGGTATTCATTTCTGTTGCTTGTTCTCACTGGAATTGCCACGGTGGTGCATCATGAGCACATCGTGGGCAGCACTTTGAGGGCAAAGGCAGATTTAAATGTCTGCCGGTTTGGTGCCTCTTGTCCTCCAAATTATGGTCACTGTTTGAGTAGAACGAAGACCTTTATCCTTTACTTTAAAAAAGAAAAAAACTGCTCTTGAATAAAAGAGTAATGTCCTGCTTCACCCTGTGTCTGTGTGCTTTTCTGGGACTTCTGTGGTCTCTGGGTGAGGTTGCGTTCAGTTCCCCAGTTCTCCTGTGGCCACGGTGGAGAATGTGGTCAGATTTGCCTGTATGTCTCTTATTTGTGCCACCACCTTCCAGCGGTTTCTGTAGACTAATGAAAATCATATGGGACGCGATCATTTTGGTAGCAGCCAATTTTCCCTGGATCAATCAGCTCGGAGCCACGTCTTAAGGGGATGGGCTGGAGCTGTAAGAAAGAGCATCTGGAGTGTTTGGAGTCTGATGAAGACGGCTCTAGAACCTGGTTATTAGGACAGATAAGGGATGGTACTCGTGGGTTTGTAAGAGCTGTGTATGCTGTGGACACGATCGTCTGTTGAGAGTACCCCCTTGTGGTTGGGAGCGCCTTCTCGGTGGTTTGGTGGCCGACTTGGGAGCAGACAGTGAGGAGTCTCTGTACTGAGGGATGTTTCTTGTTCCATTGTCCTTTCAAAGATAAGTTTATGGACTAAAAGTGTCAGCAGTCAGATGATCCCAAGGCAGGCATGGCTTACTCTTTGAAGAGCATGCCCAGAGAGACACTGCAGAAGTTCTCACCAGAGATCAGTGGTCTCTGAGTCACAGTGCAGTATGGGTGCCATAAGAAAAACACAGCTGACTTAAGCCTTCTCCTTCAGATATGCCTTTTCCTCCAGTGTTCAGACTTATGTAAGATCCCAGGAGGGCTGAGAACCCTCAGCAGGGGAGGGTCCGCTCTGTTCAGCACGGGATGCACGGTGGGCTTGTGCGTAGGAAAAGGGCTGACAGGTAGCGGTGAGGAGAGAGAGCTTATTGACATCTTACTTGTTTCTCTGTTGGCACCATGCTCTGCAGAAAAGGAGCCCGATCCTGGGGGACTGGTAGAACTGAGTTTGCTCTCTGACTTCCTCACCCATGGTCCTGCCCGCTGAATCCCCAGCTTCTGTGGGAATGCTGTTGGTGGCACATTGGTTGGATGGCAGGCTGTCAAATCTGATGCAGCAGCCTGCGAGGAACGTGGCTCTCGGGTGCACACGTGTGTGTGTGTGTGTGTGTGTGTGTGGTTGGTTTCTTAAACAGTGCCCACCAGTCTGTTCACTCTCATTCCACTTGTTACGCTGTTACATGGCCACACCCTTTGACAGGATTCACACTTGGAAGAATTTGCCCAATGTGTGTGAGTCAGTGATTATAAAGACCTGCTAACTGGAGGTGCTTAAGGGTGGTTTTGTGTGCAGTGTACTCTGTGGAGCTGCCCTGGTCAGTACTGTAGCCAGCTGACATATGTGACCGCTTATATTTAGCAAATTAAAATGTCGAGGGGTAGAGTTAGTAGGAGTTTATTGTCTGGGAGTCTTTAGAGATTGTAGATTTAATGGAGAGTGATAGGTGTAATGTCAGTAAAAGATCACACTACAAAAGGATACTGAATGGCATGGGAAAATAGGAAATTGTCAAGGACATTACAACATAGCATGCCAAGTATGGTCCCTTTTCTAATGAAAATGTAAATATGTGTGTGTTTGCTGTTTGCATTAAGATGGAAAATTAAAAAAAAGGCCATTGCTCAGCCGCCTGTGGCTGACACTGCACTCTGGGTGGTGCAGGCACAGAACGTCCCCATCAATGCAGCGGACTCGGTGGGGTGGTGCTGCTCGGTAGGGCCGTGGGTCTGAGTGGCGCCGTCACCCTGGGATGTTTCCAGGGGGCCACACAGCAGCAGAGCCAGTGGCTTGTAAGTAGGAAGTATGTTTGCGTTATACTGGGTACTTCACGAGGAAAGTGATTTTCTTTAACAATGGAAACTAGGAAACACCTAAGTTCTGAAGAGAAAAGTTTCTCTTCACACCTGCCCCAACCATCAAGGAGCAGGCAGTGCCGAGTGTTCCTGTGAGCATTCTGGCAGGTTGTTTTAGTGTCAAGAGGTTTTTTAACAGAGTGGATGTTAGTTTCTGTGGGAAGTCAAATATGATGGAATGTTGATGTTTCAAGTTTGTAGTGGGTCTGCCAGTAACACAGGTTTCCCTCCTCATCACCTTTGGTCCGTTCACACCTGCCCAGCCAGATTCTTTAGGATGGTAATGTGGCTTGGCAGGCGTTCAGGTAATGAATCACTTCTTCACTTATCCTGGTAGTGTAGCAGGGGGGTGACGCCCTGTGCTTATGCAAGGACTGTCACCTCATACTTGTCAACCTCAAAGGCCCTAAAAAGACTTCTCAAAGTAGCCATGTGGGTGGTGTAGGTGTCCACAGAGCATCTGTGGTAAAGGGAATGTCGTGTGGTACTTTCACTCAGGGGAATTTGACGTTGACTAGGTGCTGGTTAGCAGTGTGGATTACCACCTGGACCTGAGAGAAATTCAGAATCTGCATGTCTGTTGGGTTCCATCCAGCAGAGTTTAAGGCAGTTCTGGAGGGAGAGAAGGAAAGAAACTTCCGGTGTGCTACGCCTCGTGTGAAGAAGCTGTGCCCAAGTCTTGTCTGGAAGGGCCTTCTTGGGATGCTGGAAACTGGTCCTGGCTGGAGGTGGAATCCTTGGAGGAAGGTGGTAGAAGGTTCTAGAGCATCTGTTGCTCAGCAGATCAAGTTTCAGCTCAGTTATACACATGACTCTTTTTTCAGTGTTCGCTTTTCAAAAAATGTAGTTCCCGTTCCCTGCAAGTAATGAGTCAGTAAGAGTCCCATGGGAATCACCATTTGAAAGGATCTCTGCTTGGGGTCTTCTTTTTTTAAGATGTGTTGGGGGTCTGCTTGGGAATCAAAGCTCTGTGGTCCCCCTTCCCATCAGAAGGCCGTGGCTTACTCCCTTACCCCCTCCTACCTTTGTTCAGGCCGAGAGTGAGGAGACCAAGGAGCGGCTGTTTGAGTCCGTGCTCAGTGAGTGTCGGGACGCCATCCAGGCCGTTCGAGAGGAGCTGGAACCAGACCAGGTGGGACATGTTCTTCCTGGGGGTCCCCCTTCTCCGTGTATCCTGTTCTCCGGTGGGCCCCCAGTGCTTGGAGCGGTTCATTCTCTTTCACACCTTCTTTGGAGGTATGGGTTCAGCAAGCAGCTCACGGCGCCTCTGGGCTGAGTCATGCGGGGAGAGTTCCTCCCTTCACCCTGTGCCTCCCGACGGGCCCTGCATTACCTGGTAGGCCTAGGGCCTCAAATTCACAGCTCCACAAACTCACTGGCTTAAAACACAAATTTCCTACGTCACAGCTCTGAGGTGAGACTCTAAAACGAGTCTGCAGGGCTGCGCTGCTTTCGGAAGCTCTGGGGGAGAACCCGTTCCCAGGGTTGCAAAGCCTTTTCCACCTTCTGGAGGCCGCCTGCGTCTCTGGGCTCGCGGCCCCTCCTGCAGCTTCTCAGCCCGCAGTGGAGCACTTCTCTCCTCTCTGACCTCTGCTGCCGTCCCCACATCTTTCTTTTTTTTTTTTTTTTTTTAAATTTTATTTTATTTATTGTGATTTGGGTGAAGATTTACAGAGCGAATTCACTTTCCATACAGCAGTTCACATATACTTTGTCTCATGTCATTGAGCACAGTTTACAATGCAGCAGCTCCCCTCCCACTTCCTCCCCATAGTTACCTCTTTCCAGTGTCCATCCCTCCATACTCTCCTGCGCCCTGAGCTGTCTCCCTGTGCATAAGCAGCCCTTCCTTCTTCCATGATTGTTCTGTCCAGGGCGTGTGTCTACTTGAGGTAAATGTTTAACTCACATGCCTGTACTTTGTTTGGCTGCAAACCACAGGTGTCCCCACATGTTTCTAACTTTGACCCTCTTGCCTCCCTCTTTCACTTACAATACCCTGGGGACGATGGTGGGCCCATCGGTAACCCAAGATCATGTCTGCTGCTCTCAGAGCCTTGATTTCGCCAGAGTCTCTTTTACCACAGGTTCTGGGGAGTAGGATGTGTATATCTTGGGGGAGGGGGCCATTATTTGCTGATGACAAAAGGCAGGAGCTAACAGCACAAGGGGTGGCATTAAGATCTAAAGTGCAAACCTTGGAATGGAGCCGTGGGCTGTGGACTTTTCATCCTAATGCTTTAGGGCCGGACACCGGCCGCACTGTGTGCAACACCTCCCCTGGCCATTGCTCTGAACCCTCTTCCTTGAGGCAGCAGAGCGAACCTGTTGTTCTGTAATATGTCAAATAGGTGTGTAATATTTGAGGTCTCTGGCTTATTAGAGTCAGCTTGTATCCAGGCCACTACAGGGACCACACCACTGGGTGAGGCGGTAGCAGCCAGGGATCGGGCCACCTGATTCAGCCTTACCTTTTTCACTTTCTGTAGAAACAGAGAGACTACGTTCTTGAAGCGGAGTCAGGAAAGGTGTCTAACTTGCAGTACTTGCACAGGTAGGAGTGGTTTTCATCTTTTCAACATTATATAAGATCTCATTGGAACAAAAGCATATACATAACATCATTTTAATAATTTCTTAATAGATAATAAATAATATCATGCATGTATGTAGATAAAAGGAACCTTGATGCCACAGTAGTTAAAGCACTCTGCTGCCAACCTAAAGGTCAGCAGTTTAAACCCACCAGCCACTCTGTGGGGCACAGATGGGCAGTCTGTTTCCATAAAGGTTACAGCCTTGGAGACCCTAGGGGCAGTTCTACTCTGTCCTTACAGGGTTGCCACGGATTGAAATCGACTCAAGGACGGTGAGTTGGGGTTTTGGTAATACATCTACCTGGCTCTCTGTTGCATGGCCCTTTCCTGGGCTCTCAGCCCTACTGATTTCTTTGTCTGGATTTGTGCCATAGAATCAACTGCTGAAACTTTTTTTTTTTTTTTTT